GGAACCTGGGCAAAATCGAGGTCAACACATATGTGTGTGCTATGATTGTTATCTCCTTTGGATGGTCTCTGCCATCCTTCTGGGTGGTTGGCAGAAAGCTTATTGCCATTATTGAGTCCAGCTAGCTTGTGTTTTACTTACTACTATCTATTTCCTTTTATTTGTTATTTTAGTCTTGTAATTAGTGTTTATTCCTTTGTTGGACTCGTTTGTATCCTTTTAATTTTGTTGGAATAAAATTGCTTTTCACAAAAAAAAAATCACGATGTTTGTCTTGGTTTTTTTTCCTTGAAAGGCTATAAAATAAAGCTAAATGTAAGAGAAATATTGGCATCTGCAAATTATTTCCTAACTTCATTCGTAGTTTATAGTGTAGATCTGTCCAAACCAACAGGTGGATGCTGATCATGACTTGTTAGCGAAGCATTTAGCTTTTTCTGGTCATGTAATCTAGTAACACATTTTGTTGCCAATTTTATTGAACTTCATTTTATGTTGAATATTATTTGAGGTGTTAAATATATTCTAAGAAAATTATTATAAATTATGTTATTTTGAATGGATATAAGAAATACAAAATGAGATAAACTAATTAGTATCTATTTGGTAAAGTTTAACTTTTTATTTTTCATATTATTGTTTTTTTTTTTATGATTTCTATAACGAGAAGTTGATTTTTTTTAATCAGATATGTTAATTTTTATGGTTATAAAAAATTTGTTGTATAATTTATTAAAAAAAGATTCACAATCACCTTTAGGGAGCCTTTAGTTTTGTTTGGGATGGCTTTTTTATTGCTTTTTAAAACAGCTTTTTAATTTAAAATTTAAATTTTTGTACTAAAAAGCTGCTTTCAGAAGCAGTAAGAATGCCGCCACAAATGAAGCCTTAGAGTTGATGCCATGTTGCAGGTGATGGGTTTTCGGAAGGAAGGAGGAAGACGGGGGAATGGACAAAGGCTCAACCACAAGGCTAAAGTGTCATGGAAGAGAAATTTTGTAAGATAGTAATGATTAGGAATTATGTTAAGCATTTGTGGGTTGGTGATCGTAATTTATATGCCAATTTAAGTATTTTGTTTGTAAATAATTGTTCAGTCGTATTTTTTGATCTATTTTGTGGTGTGGTTGGATAAATTGATTGTTGATTCGTGTGATAAGATGTAATTGAATTTCAAGCTTAGAACAATTTCTGGCTCAATGTTATTTACATAGCTTGTTTTTAAAAGTTGTACTATATTCATTTTAGAGATAATTTTTTAGCTGTGGATATTAAGACAATAAATACCAATATCTTTACGTAATATGTAAGAGATGTAAATAGTGTATGCCTTATATTGTTCATATTAAGCTCAAGTCAATCCAGATGATTAAAACATGCCAATCTCAGACTAATCAGATCATTGTATATTAATCAATAGTTAAATATGGGTTCTTATATTTGACAAGTTTTTATTCATTTCTCATATAATTAGAGAAATAATTGTTGCAGGCTAGAACATTTGCGGCGGTAGAGACATATAAAATCTAATGTCTTAGCTTTGTGCAAAAATCCAGCACACATATTGGTAAAGAGAAAAGGTGTGAGAGTCATAAGTGACACTAAGATTTTTACGTGGAAAACCCTAAAAAAGGAAAAAAATTATGCGGGCCTAGCCTAGTGGAAATGATTCCACTAGTGTTTGTAGTCAATTACAAATGAGGCCCTTCCTTGTGGGGAAGGCTTTGGTTTGATGTAGCAAATATACATCATATAGAGTGCATTACTTGGTGGAAATTGGAAGAAAAAATATTGATATGTTCGTTTGGTCAGTGGGACCATAGTTGAAAGGCGACGAAGGTCAGAAGGACTGTAGTCGTCGCGCCACGGGGGCAGGCGACAGAGGTCGGGAAGATCATTGTTTGGAAACGGAGGTTGGAAGAATCGTAGTCAGCGACCAACGAAGGTTGGAAGGATTGTAGTCGGCGGGTGACAAAGGTAAGAAAAAATGTTGCATGGAAATGGAGGTCGGAAGGACCGTATTCGGCAGGCGATGGAGGTCGGAAAGACCGTTGTCTAGTAATTGTAGTTGGAAGGACCGTAGTGGGTGAGGGATGAAGGTCAGAAGGACCGTAGTCGGCATATAACGGAGGTCAGAAAGACTATTGTCTGGTGACCAAGGTCGGAAGGACCGTAGTCGGCGGGCAAACAAGCTTGGAAAGACTGTTTTCTGGCAAAGGAGGTTAGAAGGATTGTAATCAGCAGGTGACGAATGTCAAAAAGAATATTTTTAGCGATAGAGGTTAGAAGGACAATAGTCGGAGGGCGATGAAGGTCAGAAAAATCATAGTCGACGAACGACGGAGGTCGAAAAGATTATTTTATGGCAAAAAAGGTCGGAATGACCGTAGTCAACGGGCGATAAAGGTTTGAAGAATCATAGTCAGGTAGCAATGGAAGTCGGAAATACCGTTGTTTGGCGATGGAGGTCAGAAGGACAGTAGTCGATGGGCTACGAAGGTCGAAAGGACGGTAGTCGACTGACGATAGAGGTCAGAAAGACCATTATTTGGCAACGAAGGTTTGTAGGACCAAAGTCGATGGTCGACGAAGGTTGGAAATATCATTTTCTGGTTATGGAGCTCGGAAGGACCGTAGTCACCGTACGAGTGAGGTCAAAAAGACCGTTGTTTGTCTATAGAGGTTGGAAGGACCATAGTCGACGGGCGATGAAGGTCGGAAAGATCGTAGTCAACGGGCGACGAAGGCTGAAAGGATCGTAGTCTAGTGACGGAGGTTAGAAGGTCCATAGTCGGTGAGCGACCATGGTCAAAAGGACCGTAATCAATAGGTAACGGATGTCAAAAAGACCATTATCTCTTGATGGTGATGGAGGTCTAAAGGGCCATAGTCGATGGGCGATGATGTGTTTTAGGGATCGTACTTGGCAGCCCAGTAGAGGACCAATAATGGTTGGTAGTCGGGTGGAAGTTCAGTGGCGGTCGACGGCTAGGGCGTGTTCAGATGATAACCGGGCGGAAGTTTGACGGAGGTCGAAGACAAAGTTGAAGTCCATTGGCGGTAGGAAGCAGGGCAATGGTCCAATGATGGGTAGGCTGATGTCCAACAGTGGATGGCGGTCAGGCGGTGGTCCAAAGGCGGTCGATGGCCAGGTGGTTGTCTAACGATGATCAGGCCAAAGTTCAATGGTGGTTGGCGGCGGGGCGGTGGTTTAAAGATAGTCAGGCTAAAGTCTGGCATCTATCGACGGCCAAATGGAAGTCTGGTGGCGATCAACGACCTAGTGGTGGTCCGACGAAAGCAAGGCAGAAGTCCGACGACGTTAGGTAGCCGGGTGAAGGTTCTCCAACGATGGAGCTAGAGCTCTTGAAACCCTAGAGCTCTTGAAACCCTAGAGCTCTCTCCAATCTCCAGCCCAAGGTCCCCTCCATGTAGAGAGTTGGGTCTATTTATAGATTTTCATGAGTGGCACACCCTGTAAATATAGAGAAGATTTGGGGTAGATTCGGAGTGCTCCATCGGATGGCTGGTATTGATTTCTCCGATCATAGAGAGTTTTTCAACTGTTTAAGTGCCTTAACAATGTCAAAATTCAGTGATCTTGTGCTTGTTGGATTTGTCTCGCTAAGCCGCTAAATTTGACTATAAGCATGTCATATTTGGATATCATTTTTTCATCCAATAATGCTTTGATCCTTTCAAATATGATACATGCCCCCAATTTGGACCAATTTTGGCTCGGGTTGAACCGATTTTGGTGTTGTTAGGTTTGTCTCATTGAGACGTTCGATTTGACTATAAGTTTGCATAAATTGGAATTCAAATTATCTCGAATTTAATTTTGAAAATTTTCAAGTTGAATACACCTTGAGATTCGTGTATGATCAAGATGGTTTTTGGCGATGTATCAATAATTATTGGTCAATCATATTTTATTATGCCATATTTTATCAGTCATGTATTATCTTTTAGCAATTAATGCTTTCACTTTATTAGGCAATGCCATTTCTCGATGTCAACGACTTCAACGGATTAGCATATCCTTCTTTTGGAGATGATAATAACCTTACATTAGACTTCCAACCATTCATCATTATGTATTAGTCCTGGAATGCTGGTTGTTCAGCTCCTTAGAAGAGAGGTCAGAACACATGAGTTGATGGGAACGGCTTCAAAGCTAACGTTGCCCACCACCCTGCTTTGGTTAAAAAGACAAATTTTTATTGGTTTTTCCTAAAAAATTCTTGGCTAAATGTTAGTATTGTGATTTGTAATAATTATTTTTCAAATTAATATTTTTTTATAATACTTTTATTATATTTTAAAGTCATATCAATGTGCACATTGTGCACCTGCATTTAAACTAGTATATAAAAATATGCATTCAAACACTTCATTAAAGAAGCTTTAATTTGGGCTACCGCCAGAGACTTCTCCTTAAACGTAAATAATTTAGTGTGCGTATGTATATGTGTATAATGTTTAGCCAAATCAAATTAATCAAGTCACAATATTGTTATGCATATGTTCAATAAGTTGCCATGAATTAAATCAAATTGACTAAATGAGTTATTCAATAAATCACTAAATACTCACTCAAAACCATTAATGACAAGCACAACAAACATAAACATAACTCGTCAATTACTTGAGTCAAAAATGACTAAAATTAGTGCAAGTTCCCTTCAATTCAAATTTGACTTTTTGAGTAAGCTCAAATAAAACACGAGAAAAACTACTATCTAGTTGTCATGAAATATAAGACAATAATACAAAACTTAAACATAAAGTCATAATCATACATAACTCTCATAATTAAAGTCTTAAGATCTCTATAGAGGAATAATAAAAAGCATCATATTTCAACTTATATAGTAATAAAATATGAAAGAAAATTTCAAGAAGTAAAGGACCACTCAACCTTCTCATGTTGGCCATATCATACAACAAATATAGTTAGAATATAAGATCCCTTCAAGAGCTTTATCCACCTTCATTTATTAATCACCCCAAGAATATGCAGCTAGAGAAAAGTTATTGTTCCTATCATTTTTTCTTGTGTATCCCACGTTGCTTAAGGCTTCCTCAATTCCCATTGCATCAATAGTTCCAAAGCTCGCATCATTATGTAGAGATTTAAGCAAACGAATTTTAGTGCTAATTCCAACAAGTTCACCATCAAGAGTCACAATTGGTCCTCCACAATTACCCTATTAATAAAAAAAAACATTATGAAATTAGCTCCCTATACTATGTTCTCACTAAAAGGAACTTCTTTGAAAAAATGAATGTGATTTTGAACAAAACTTATGCATATTTTCAAAGAATTTCATGATGAAATTAAAAACAGAAGTGCCTACACTTTTTCTTTCAATTGTACCATTTTGTTGAGTAGTATCAAGACAAGTTGATAGGTGATAAGTCATTTTTTCAATAAATGTTAATAGTGTTTGTTAAAATACTATGTTCCATTGTCAATTCTAAGAATATTAATATTAGTTTGAAATTGATTTTCAATCATTTGGAAAATTTCTTCAAATCTTTGCTCAATGTTAAATTTTTTTATCGAACAAATAAACTCCTCATAATCTCATATATCATCAATAAAAGTTACAAAACATTTTTCTTGACAGTTTTAATCATGGATGGTCCCCAAAAATCACTACAAAACAAATAAAATAGTTTAAAAGCAAAGTAATATTTTATTATGAAAAATTATCCTTTGATCATTAGCTAAGTTACAAGCTTCAAAATGAAGCATATAGACCAATCAATTTTTAAATAATTAAGGAAATAAAGGTAAGAAAAATTAAGATGTGCTAATATCCTATACCATACTATAGCCTACTTATTAACAAAAGTTAGACTAGTATTACTTAATATATAATTTTTTTTTTATCCTGAAAAGCTTATCATCAATGTAATATTAGCCATTTAGAATTCTAATCCTTTTGTCCTAAATCCAGAAAATATACATATGGAAGGAGTAAAGAATAATGAACTATTAGAATCTCTAGTTGGTTTAATAATAGAGAGAACATTGCGAGCTAGATTAGGCATATGCAAAATATTATTTAGAGTAATTCTTTATGAGATTTTAATGTGTACTTTCCCAACAATAGTTGAAAAACTTCTATTAGTAATAATAATTAAAAAATGAGAGTAACTAATCATATGATCAAAAACTGTGGAATTTATAATCCAAGAATTGATTTTTTTTTTAAAGAACAAAAAGAGCTAAAAGAACTCTACCTCTTTGCGAAATGAGCATTAGGCGAGGAATGAGATTTTAGGATGAATTATCTGCCCTAAGTTGAATGAAAAAGATTTAGATTCATATGTTGTGGGAATATTTTGCTCAGTTGGTTTAATAGATATGTCATTAGTTGTTTCCCTTCATAACCACAACATAGATTGTTCTTGTCACCATTATGTTGATTTGGATATGTATTGCGACTAAGTTGTGCTTCAAAAACGACCAATGCAAGGTCTTCAACAAGTCCATCAACCCTATTGATTTTTTTCTCAAGCATCACTAGTGGATTTCTTCTCTCCGCTCCTCCAGAAAGATTTCTCTTATTAGAGGGTGGAGATTTCATCTAATGATTCGACTAAATTTGTCATACTCAATATTTAAGCTTGCAAGAAATTTAAGATTCAATAAACATCAACTATCTTTTTATAATAATTATTGTCCTTGGTTGATTTACGCTTGTGATCAATGAATAAGTCTAATGTTTAGTTTGAGATGACTTTTTTACTTCTTCATAAAGAAGCTTTTTAGTACAAAAATTGTATTTTTTGTACTAAAAAGCTTCTTTAAAAAGCAGTAAAAAAAAGTCGTTCTAAATGAAGTCGAAGTCTTACCAAATCATTCTACGAGAATTTAAATAATTTATCATAGAATCCCCACCTACAAATCTCTGAATCAATAACTATTCAAATGAAGGTAAAATTGACAAAACTTCAAGCACCAAAAGAATTGGGAAGAACATGACAACTTTGAAGAGAATGATTGTGACCTAAGATTGAGGGGATACAAAAGAGAAGGAGAAAAATATAAAAATCTTTCTTCCTCTATAATATTATGAAATTTGAAAAGAGAATAGAATATATATAAAAATTGATAGAGTTTTTATAGCTCTGTCAACATGCAAAAATCCAAGAGGTTTATAAAAAATTTTCCATAAGATATATATAGGGAAATAAAGCAATACAAGGACAAATTAATAGGATATCAATTAATGGTTAATGGTAGTCCTTCTGCAAAGAGTTTGAAGTACCATACATGAATCAGAATTTGAAGTGCCAAGATTTTATAGAAGAGAAGTACGTTTGCCGACTTCGAAAGCATTGGCAAGAAGCCAATTCCCACCAACAACCGAAGATTTTTTTTTGTATTAGGCATATTATTCAATAAAAACTAAATATCAAATCTTTTTACATTATACAAATTAGTAAATGTCTTAGTGAATTATATGTAATCAAAGACCATGAGAAAATGAGCTACAATAGCTATTTGGCTAGAACTCTAGGATTTGTTGGCATCTTCGGATAAAGAGAACAAAGAGCATTTGAAAATTAAAAGTTAAAAGGCGAGGATGCAAATGAATGGATTAGAAGGATGTTCTTATGAATCTTGAAGTGCTTTACATGAAATTCTTGATAGAATTGACAATTAGTATGAAAGGATTTGGATAGAATTTTCTTATAATGCCTCTTGTACACATTTTATTCTAAAGAATAATATCGTATCTTTAGTGTGATCAATAAGGACCATGCAACAATATTGTCTTTTTGCAAAAAAAAAAAAAAAAGATAAATTCGTATATGGATAAGTCACATATATACTGAAGACAATATCATATCAACTGATATGACTACACAACAATGAACTCAAAAGGTATATCTCAAATTAGAATGATAAATAAATTACAAAAATAAATAAATAAATAAAAAGGTTTAAAAATTACCAAATAAAATTGTTCGTACTTCCATCTAGGTATGATTTCTTCACCTGACAACATCAACTTGGCCTGAAAATAGAATTATTCAATTAAAATACTTGTTAAGTAAATACAATTATCATTATATTATTGATAACATCATTTAGCCTAGGCACAAATTCTACATCAAATTGAATTAGATAAAAGAGCAAGCTAGCTCAACAAAACATTAACACATTGCTGATATGATTAACATATAAAGATAGTTTTAAAAAATAAAGCAACAAATAGTTTAAATTTTGGAGACCTCTTAACAAAAAGTAGCTAACAACTTAAATTAACAAAAATTCATTATAAAGCAATGTCATGTTCAAGATAAATACTTCAAATGTGATGAAACAATCATGATGACAGAAAAAAGGAGAGTTTAATATCCTAGCATTTTACGAAGGTTAATACATATGCATATAAGAAAGAGAGGTGGAATAATCATAAGAGACAAATTTTTTTACATGAAAAACCTTGAAAAGAGGAAAAATCATGAGGTATCGTCCAGTTGAAATGATTCCACTAATATTTGACATTGATTACAAATTGTGTCATTCCTTGAGGGAAGGTGTCATGCCCCAAAATCTAATTTAGAATTTTTTTTTTAAAAAAGTTGTTACAATCTACCCACCCTAAACAAATATCATCCCCGACATTTCTTTAAGGATTCAAGCACAAAACCGATATAAAACAAATTCGTACAACCAAATTCCAAATGACCAAAATCTCAATCAAGTCAAAAAATCAAATTTAAATCTCGTAGAAAGAAATCAAATTCTATCATATCATCATATAGCCCATTCAATCACATATCCTTCACTCATGCCATGAGATGCCATGTTAGTAAATCATTCAAACCAAATTTCTTACACGTCAAACTCTCAGGTTGTTGTTGTTGGTCTTCCAAATATTAAAAGTTGTACACTCATGTTATCACTCACGTAGGTGTTGTTGGTGCTATCAATCCTGGTGAAACTTTCTCCCTTTGACTACCACTAACAACTATGTCATCAACCATGTTGGTTGATCTTTCATTTAAGCTCTCAACCTTGTTGTCCTCTATCATGCAGTCAATCTAGACAGTCCTGCATCAAAATCAACTCTTCCTTCATGTGGACAATCCATTACCTTGTGTCCCTGCTGTCCATATCAAAAGCATTATCTTGTAAAAAGGTAACAATTACATGAATATCTTCTTCCATAATGAATACATTCACTATAGCAGTCGGTTGATGTTGGTGATCCAAATGCTCTCAAATCAATGTATCTGCTTTTCTTATAACTGGCATTGACTAAATCCCTTCTTACTTCATCTATAGTCCTCTTACTATTATCATGCATGGAGCCCACATCATAGCTAGATTTTGATAATGTTAAATTAATCTCTATCAGTATGGCTCGCTCTACCAACTCAAAAATTTTTGGGACCCGCAGAGGCATTAAAGGATGTTTCAATTCACTGTTCAACCCTTGCAGAAACCTATAGCACTTTTCTTTAGCAATGGTAATTAAATGAGCATATCTACTAAGTGCAGTAAACTCAGCTTCATAGTCTTCAGTCTTTGCTCCAACATAATGAAATATTCTTACATCTGTCCCTCGCTAACAAAGGTACGAACCATATCTTGAACACTTTATTACATTCATCTAAAGTGATATTAGCATTGTTCTTCCCCTATAAATTATCTTTGTTTTCTAATCCACCATCGCTTATCTTCTCCTTAAAACAAAAATATAGCCAATGGAACCTTCCCATTCTCTGGGTACTGTCTATTTTCAAAGATCTTCTCTATTCTTAACAACCAATCTTATGTAGCTTATGGTCCTATAGCTCATTTGAACAGCAGAGGCTTCATCTTATAGAATGTCTATAAATGCTTTTCTCCCTCTTCTTCCTTATTCCCAGATAGCTTACTATGAGTATCACCCATTACTTGTATAAGAACATGGTCAGTTGCATAATAGTATCTAACGATACTAGAGTTGCACTGTGTTACTCATTTTGTACATCTCGCTCTTGTAGGTCCATTTCAGTTATTCACTTTTGCCCACTTCTATTTGATATAAATAGTTCATACATGCAATTAATTATGTATGCAAGATAATACACCTTGATCTACCAAATATGCCAAACTCACAATCAATTCCTATAGCTATGATAATAATTCAATCAATTCCTCCAACAACTACTCTAATAATCCATGGGATCACTGTAATGGTTGTAGTCCATTTAGTGACTTCAATCTAAGATACCTTTTTATTCAAAAATAATTGTTTATGTATTCCCCAATCATCTTGATTACAATACTTAATCAAAGAAGTTCATTCAGGAGGTCTAACTTCTCATGTAGGTTAAGACAAAACCTTTTCTTAGCTCCAACACCATTTTTTATTGACCACATATGTGTAGGGATATCCCTTGCATCTTCAAATAGAGCATAGTTTGTCAAACCTATAACATTAGTGCTCAAAATTCTGACATGTACTTTCCCTTAACAATCCCATACTCAATTTGAGAGTGTTTAAACAATGATTTTGTGTTGGGCCTTCCATGAACCAAATGAGGTGCATAATCTATCATGGTGGTAGTTGACAGATTATCTAAAATGACTCACTTCGTTCTATGTAAGAAAACATTTGATGCATTTGACATTGCTGATATATTTTTTCAAAAAAGAATTTTTCTCCTTAATGAATTGCCTCGTAGCATTACCTTCATTAAAGACATTAAGATTATTAGCCATTTTTGGAGAGAACTTTGAAAACAACAACAGATTGATATGAAACTCAGCTCTTCCTATCACTCTTAAATTGATGGCCAAACTGAAGTCATTAATCACACACTTGGTAGTATGCTCCACTACCTAGTACAACAACATCCCAAACAATGGGAAAAATAGCTTGGACTAGAAGAATTTGCATTCAATTATATGCCCAGTCAGTCTAAGTCCAGTGCCCTTTTAGCATAGTATATATTAAAATGCCTAACCATCTCATAAATTACGCAATTCTCCCTAATTGCAGCACAATATGTGATCAATTTGTCAATCAATTCTTGAATTCTGAACGAAGTCAGAACTACGCTAGCTGAAATTAATTCCATGTATAAGTAGCTAGTTGATTCCCATCCCTGACATAAGTTTTTTCAGTTGGGAGATTTCGTCATGATGTGCTAGCATAAAGAAAGGCTCCCATCTGGCACCTATTCCAAACTCGACCCCAAAATGATTGGCCCTTTCCCTATCATGGACAAAATTAATGAGAAAGCCTACATCATTGATCTTCCTAATAATATTTAGACCACGTCGATGTTTATTGTGTTTGATGTCTATACATACCATCCAATAGACAACATCTCCTCCACTACAATCGCATCTGAGATGAGCACTTATGAAGCAGGCAAGATCTAATATGGACTATCTTATCCTCAGCATAACTTACCCTATGATTTCCTCCACATTCCCCATATTTCCCGGTTTTATTACTTTTCTAGTATGACAAGTACAGTGCCTCCTTTTTATTTTCCTTAGTTTATTGAAGTAGAGTTAGTTTTCTTTAATAAGTCAGCTCTTGTAAGCACACAAGGAGACATAGATGAATATATTCTTTCCTTAAGTTATTGTTCTAATGTTTCCTTGGTTACTACTCTTATGTTTTTTCAATTGCTACACCAACTAGTGTTGGAATCAAGAGATCATGGGCTCGTTGGATTAATCTCATTAAGCAGATTGATATGGCTATAAGCATGTCATATTTGGAGATCATTTGATCTTCTAGTTAATATTTTGAAGCTTCCAAATGTGATTCAAGCTTTAGATTTGGGCTCATTTTGGCACAAGATGGGACATATTTTGGTTTCATTGTGTTTATTTTGTCAAGACGTTAAGTTCTACTATAAATTTGTTGAGATTGGAGTTAACATGGTCCAAAATTGAGTTTTGAAGAATTCCAATTAAAACGTGTCTTGAGATTTGTGACCAATCAAGGCAAAATTTTATGGCACATATTCAATCGTAAGCCTATTTACAGATGTCTAAGCTTGTACATACCAAAAATATCTATCAAAGCTTCTTAAAAAGTTCATAGTACAAAATTATAATTTTAGAAACATTAATGGCAGGACTGCTGAACCAGACGTTAACTTTGATCCCCCTCAAGGGTCCAACCAAATCAAATGTCCTTAGTTATAATTTCAATATTTCATGAAATTAGGATGTTGTTCAATGCGAAAAAATGGAAAAAAAAAATCGCTTCATAACTTTCACAAATGCTCAAAACTTATTTTGGAACCTATGTTAGGATTCATAGATGCCAAAATTGAGTCCATATGGTCAAAAAATTGTCTCAAGTACTTCGGAAAAGGCCAAACTGGCCAGCCATTTGTGCATTGTCGAGCTGCTCGCAAGCATAGGCACACGTCTAAGTGCATACAAGTGACTTTTTTTTTAATATAAGGGTGCCTAATAGGCGGCTATTCAAGAGCCGAATTTTTGTAAGAAAATGTAATGATATGTTTATGGTTTATAATGAAAAAAATAAAAGAAAAATAAGATGGGTATAACAAGAAAATGCATAATTTTGTAAGAAAATCATTTGAAGAGAGATTTTAGTAAACTCCCTATGTATCCAAGGAAAATCATCCGGATCAATAAAATCACTAAAACATGAAAGAAAATCAACTGAAAATTATAGGGAAATATTTGATTTGTTATCTAATGTCTATCTTTTGTGGGAAAAAACAATACAAGAGATAATGTTATAGAAAAATATTAGTTAACAACATAACATAGAAACATCAAAGATTTAGGAAAAAATAAATAAATAAGAATAAACCAAGAAAAACCCAAAATTTAAACAAAAAAGTAAAATAAAGAAAATGCAAAATTATCTAAAAATCTTTAGTAACATTACCTCTTCACCTACATCATTTGGACTCGAAATTCTGCAAATTATGAAGACATGGATCAATTAAAATAGAACAAAAAAAGGCATCACTCTATTAATCAGCTACAAAAGTAAAAAATTTATCATATTTCTTAGCAAAATTAGCACATATTTGAATAATACTTCATTCGCCAATATTACCTTGGGTAATCCTTTTCTCTAAATAGACGTTCAACAGAGATCAATTCGCTTCTCTTGTAATTTCCCAAAGATCCAAACATTATTGTCGGTAAGGGAATTTCTGATTGTATCTTCAAAAGAGCAAGATCATGATACTTATTAACCTTGAGAATATTTCCTGAAAATTTTCTTCTATCATGTAGGCTGACATTAACCTATTTTTTATTCAAAAATAAACAGTATTGAGCATTCAATGTTAATAATATAATGAGCAATATATAGAACGAAAGATAAGGAAGCAAGCATCCTTAAATAGAAGGATATAATGACTAATTCATTATATGTAATGTAAAGTAGATTGAACATTGAAATTCAAAGAGAGACAACATTGGGCATTCTTGTGTTACCAATACAACGAATAATGCCTAAAAACATTAAGAAACCAAACATTTTGCATTCTCAGATATCATGATTAATTAAATAAAATGGTGATTCTGCAAAGCAATGTTAGTTTATGATCAAGAACTAAAAAAAGTAAATAAATGGCAAAAAAGAAAAAAAAAACAATCAAGATTTTCATACTAGGGAAGAAAATTGTTTAAGGCTTCGTTTGGGACAGCTTTCTTCCAGCTTCTTAAAGCGATTTTTTAGTACAAAAATTAAAAATTTTGTACTAGAAAATCACTTTGAGAAACAATAAGAAAGACGTCCAAAGAAAGCCTCAATCTTATTGCACATGAGAAGTGATTAAAGAGGAAAAAAAATTATAGATTCTTTTTAACGAACCAGAATCGAGCATTTCTCTAGAATATTTCGATCAATAGATTATTCTTGAAATCAAAGGAAGAGTGTAAAAAGCTAACCTTGCCTCTGAAAACCGGTGAAAAAACGTTACGAGCTTGGGTCAAGACTGTGCCATCGGAATCTATGATGATTCCGGACCCTCCATCTCCTACAAGCAACGAGGAAAAATGAATATTAGATTAAAAATATCTTACTAAGTTTAGAGCTTCGGCCATAAGAATCTCTACCCTTTTCAGGAGAGACTGTGACAACAGCAGGGCAAACATTCTCCGTTGAAAATTTAATGAAGGAATCCGAGCTTGCCCCATATCGCTGAAAAATTTTGGTGGCTTTGTCTTCCTCCTCTACAGACACAATTGGAATTAAAAAGAGAGATAGACAAAAAGGAGAAAAAGAGAGCTTTTGACAGGAATATCTTATCGAACTTTTGCTTGTCTCTGGGAATCCGTAAGGCTCGAATGTGCACCAGGCTCCGGACGTTTGTCTCCATGATCCTTTATGTTTAAACAAGCCAAGGGCAAAGGGTGTTACAATTCTTTTCAAGTTCATATCTCAATTTGTATCACAGAAGTGCTGCGGTAAGAAAAAATAAAGAGATCTTTTAAATGGGTAGAAAAGTAAGGGGGTTGTTTGGTATCCGAATGGATTTAACTTTCAAATCCTCTAAATTTGGATTTAGAAAATTTTGACGGTGTTAAATCATGGAAATTCATTGGTGCAACATACCTTAAATATAGGGAAATTGTTTGGCAATGTAATGCAAGATTTAAGCTGGATGGTTCATTTATAGATTAAATTTTATGTCCTTTGAATTTTATTTGTGCTTTAACTATGAATTACTTATGAATAATATAATTAGAGGCTAATTTAATTATTCAATAAATTAATTAATAATTTAATTACTAATTATAATATTAATTATCTAATTACTTATTTTAGGTATTATTTTACTTATTTAGTATTATTTTTAATTGCTAATTATACTTATAGTTATCTAATTAATTAATTAATTATTCTATTGATAATTAAGTATTTAATTAATATTTATATTGCTAATGTCCTAATTAAGTATTTCTATCTTAAATCGCATTAATTAAACTAATATGTTTATTGTCTAATTAAAAACTTAAGAATTAGTTTTAGAGGCAGGTAGGATTTCCCTCTTCATGCTTTCTTCGTTGCTTTTTGCATGAGATAGAACATCCCTTTTTGGCTTCGGTAGTTCGCATGAGTTACAACTTTGAATGAGTCTCTTATCATTGCTTGTCTAGGTTTGTTTTTTTATCTTATGCATTTCTTTGTTGATGTTTTGCTTCGCGTGAAATGAGTTTTGCAAGTGCCGAAATTTATCCACATCCTCTTGTTGACCTCTTTTTATTTTTTAATCTTAATTTGCCCTTGAGCGTTTTTGATCGAGTTGATCGAGCCTCGATTCAATCTGAATCGGCGTAAATTCGAGTTTAATTTTCATTGAATTAATTTAGTCTGAGTTGAGTTGAGCCCAAAGATAACCTAAATTGAGCAGAATTGGGTTTGGTTTAAACCTGATTTTCAACTCAATGGGCTCAATCTAATTTCAATTAAAATTTTATCGACTTTCTAAATTAATTTGAATTCAATGGCAAGATCAGGAATAGGATCGACGGTGCCGATTTCGTCTAAACCCGAAGCCTGCCGCTGCTACAGGGTTCAGTCAAGTGGGCTGCTCGTTTTAGAAAAGGGGCAGGCGTCGATTAGCGGGAGGTAGTATGACAGAGCTTTTTTTGGATGTATGGAGCCGAAGTCGAGGAGGGCTAAAGGGCAGAATTTGCTCTGAGAAACAAAGGCATTCGGACTTTTTCCCTCCCCCGGCTCTCGGTTCTTCCCCATTCTCGCGTCTCCATTGATTCGGAAGACTCCAGGCATTCCAATGACTTCAGCCCGGCTTCCTCTCCCCGACTCTTGGTTCGTACAAGGACAGGAGGCGGAACCCCCTGCTCTCATCCCCCATTGATTCACACGAAGCAAGAGACCGAAGTTTCCCTGCCCCTTGCGACCGACGCAGGTGAAGCATAGCTAAGCTCGTCGCCTCACCCGACGTCAAAGCTCCCTTTAATTTCGGTTCCGTGCCCTAGCCACTGACTCCTCCATTTGTGAGGTGATTTTACTTCCCTTTCTCCTTCCATGAACGGTTTGCACATGTGGTTGAGGCCAAGGGTAGACACTTACATATTACCACTTTCTCGAAGTAGCACATTATAGTTTGTTTGTATGCTGTTTATTATTCGTTTTTTTTCTTCCCATCTTGTAGGTTGAATAGTTACAGATTTCCTAAAAGGAAAAAAAACTGTATATTTCCTCCATTTAAAAAAAAAATCAAATGGCTGTAGCATTCATTTTGTTTCTCTAATTTGGAGAGCTCTGTATCAATTCATCACTTAGTAGTTTTTACAACTTAAATAACCATGTCGGGTGGCCAATAGTTGGGTATCCAGTGGATATGCTGTATCTACACTTTCAAATAATCAAAGTTTTGTCTTTAGTGCCTTGTTGGCTTTCTCAAATTTTTAACAGGTTGGGAAGAATTCCTATGTAAGCTAGTGCTTGCGTACTGCCAATTCATTGGCTATAACTCATTTGTTTGTTGTTATAACAAATTTCTAGCATTTTTATGAATAAAATGCTTTTCCATTTCATAATCATTTAATTTAGATGAACAAGCTATGCAGTTTTGTGAAATGTATATGTGCTCTATGTCAAGCTTGGTGTTGTTTGTTACTACATTCCTTATGTGTAAATTTGCAGGAATTTTCAATCGTTAATGATTTATAGCATGTAGTATATGGTGAATGATCTCATGTATATGTCATAAGAGATTGTAATGTCTTTCACTAGGTGCATGAAAGGTGTTTGTATGAATGCCCCTTTAAGGAATAATGTTATATATATATATATATATTTCATTTCATTTATGTTTAAAAGCTAAAATTTGCTCTTGAGCTTTAAAAAAAAAAAGAGGACCAAGGTTGTTTTTGTTCCTTTCTCCCTTCTTAATACTAAATCTCTTAGCTGGAAATTAGAGATGTATTTGCCTACTTCATTTGAATCAAACATCATCTACTGCGATTGTCAGGAATTTCATTCAGATACATCCAATGGAATGCATTTGACGGAATGTTTATATATTAAGCCTTTCATATATATCCGTTAAGCATTTAATGAGATATGTAGTGAGGTAGCAATGGTGGCATTCATTAGCTAAGAAAATGATTGATATTCCCATATGCTTTGATGTAAAAGTTTTGTTGTAAAGTTATAAATTATACTTTGGAATTGAGTCTGACATTAAAAAAAAAATGGAGATTTAATCTGGTTATGGGAATCAAATGTCATCTTGCTGCGTAGTAAAATTTATCAAATCTTTGAATTAGTTTAAAAGCGGAGATTTAAGTATATATGTATGCATAATTTAAAAATGGTTATCATCATTATTATCATTGTTCAAGAAGATTTATCTTAAAATTGAATGTGGATAAGAGTATTCACTCCAAATCAGATTTTATTTATTTATTCACTTATGTACTAAAGTCCTACACAACCAATACAATTTTCTTAAAATATGTGAACAAACATAATCAAACATATGTTAAACTCATGTATTGCATCATGTATAAGGGCTTTATTATATGTTGCGCGAGTGAAATTGTATTTATCCCTCTTCTCGATTTGTATTTAATTTGTACATTAAATTAAGACAATAACAGGCGAAGACATTAGGTAACATTTATCTTGCTAGTAAAATTCCCTTCTTGTGCTTTATTTTCATGTGCTTGATATGCATCATAAGTTTATAGGTTTCAATTGTTTCAAATTAATTCTTGCTTATTTGTATTTTTCTTTGAATGGTGCCTACTCTCATACAATTTTCTTTTGTTTGTCTGTGTTTTGCGAGGTACTATTGGGAAGACAAAGGGGAAGGAATCCTTTGGAGTCGCTGTGACGAAGAAGCATACATAAACAAATTAGTCGCTATGGGCGGAACCACCGGGTCATAGCCCCCGGTGCCGTAAGTTTTTTTTTTTTTTTTTTTTAAAAAAAAAAAACTTAGAAAGCCCTTTAGGAGCCATTATGGTTACATGCTTCTCAACCTTTAGGACATTGTAGTAACTTCAATTTTATTAGGATTCTTTTATTTTATTTTTACATTCCTAAACCAATTTTACATATGCATATGTCCAAAGGATTAGAAATAAACATTTTTTCACCATATACAACACTAGTGACACCTAAAAACAAAAACTAAGGACTAAGTTTTAGAAAATCTAGACTTAGGGTGCATACTCTCTTTAGGATAGAAATATGAAACATAGAAAATATAGTGACATTCTACCATAGGATTAGTGCATTAATATCTAAGTCTAATTAATTATGTGTAATAACTAACCTATAATCAAAACCTCCAACAAATTAGTAAGAATTCAAATCAAATGTGTAAAAGATACTTAACTTCTAATCAACTCATAATTCACATGTATAATCATTAAGAGGCAAACTTGGACATAAACTTAAACTGAAGTTAATCGATCTATTAATCATCCTCTCACTAACCTAAAGTTGAAAGATATGGACTAAATTAAAAGAACAAACCTAAATTAAAACATTTTAAGTTAAGGACTTCTAAAACCCAAGCTCTAATTCATTAAATCACTTCATAATTAATTACACACCTAATATAAAACACATTTAATATCGAATGTAAATGAATTAAAACCTAATTAACTAAGTACACGAGATAAAAACTTATTAAAAGCTTAATCATAAATTAAAGTTTCAGAACTCAATAACTCACATAAAACTTATTTATCTTTTAAAATCAATCTCTCAAATTGATAATAAATCACTCAATCTATCTTTTTTTTTTAATTTCTAACCAACTAAATTAACTTAATAAAATAAGGTACCACTGAGTAACTCAGGCCTACGAGGCTATTAAGTTAGCCCCAATGAAGGTGAAATAAACCTCACGGCCTCAGTGAGCAATAAAAGTGGTAATCAACTAAACAATAAAATAAAACTCTTAAAATTAATCTTAAAATATTAATATTTAAACTTGAACTAAAATTCTCCTTTGACCTTTAACAAATCAATTCACAAACAGCTTTAAACTAAATTATCCTATATATGATATATCCAAACCACACAACCCGCTACACACACTAGAACTTATTTGCTAAGATCACCGACTCTTGTCTTAGGCTAGGCCGCTAGTGTGTTTTGCTGTGATGCGGATACCTTACCTGAAGGGTATCTTTGATGTGTTTATTTACTAAATTATTTTATTTAAACTTTTATTTATGCACTCATTTCCTATATCATTCTCTCTTCTCATGGTTATAAATACTTGTATTCCCTTCCTATTGTACATCTATGAATGCTTAATATCAATTTCTATGTTCCTTCTTTATTCCTGCGTCTCTCTAGAACTCTCCATCTCCACCGAGATAGAGTTCTCTCACCAATCACTACATGTCAACCATGCAATGATCAATTAGAAAACTACACGTAAGCCATTTTGACCCATGATTTAGTGATTATATAACTCGGGGATTTATCAGTGCAATGACAAGTCTTTATAAGACATCTAATTAATCTTCAGATATAATCATCCAATATTCTGTGACCCAGAGATACAGTGCCTTTACATTTTTTGGGTGGGAGAAAATTTTGCAAGCATGCACTAAACAATTCGGAATAATATGGTAAAATTGATATTTTAGAATAGAAATTATAAATAATTAATTGATATAAGAAAGTGATATATAATACTGAAATATTTTTAATAGCTTTATAATGAAATTACTGAATTTTAATAAATTTTAATAATTTTATTGTACTTCACAATAATATTTTTAAACCAGTCATTTCTCAAGCTAATCAGTCGAGTCAAAATTGGCTCAAGCATAGATCATTAACTTCTCGAGCTTGACTCATGAGTCATTTATTGAGCTGGTTCATGAGTCAACTATACTCGCTTCACCTTTCGAATCAAAGCTCAATGGTTGAGAGTAAACTCTTTGTGTTGCGAGAGTTCTAACGAATGCTGATGCATTAATTTGCATTTTCATTTTGATTTATTCTTCAATTAAAAAAAAACCTACCTTTCTATTTATTTTCATTTTTTTTTCTGGGACAAATCTATTAATTATTAGTATTGTTGCCTGTTTGACAACAAATATGATTTCGATCAATTAAAATTTAATATATGAAATTGGGGCTGAACATTTTTTTTTTGAGAAAATAAATTTATAATCTGCTCTATATTTATTTTATTTTTGTTTAATATTCATGTTTAAATTTTTTTATTTTAATATAACGACATTTGTATTTTTTTAATATTTATATATTAAAGCTATATATATATATATATATATATATATGAAGTTCTAATTTTACTATTTATCATTTCATAGTATGATGATCAATTTATAGAGGAGCTACAAATAAAAAACAGCAATGCTTAAGATCCTAAAATCTAAACAAAGGGATGAAAAACATATGAGAAAACCTCAAAAATACAACACAAGAACTAAAGAAATCAAAATAAAAAGGAAGACGGACTTAGAAGGCAAAGAAAAATTCCCAAATGTTTGATGCTTCAAAAATAGAAAAACATTAAAAAAAGGCATTCATGCCATAACTGATTAACCCAAATAGGAGAAGCAAAATCCTTATGCAACTACTCAATAATGGCATGATTACTAACGTTAGGCAGGCCATCTCAACATATAGAACTCTTAGCATAATGTAATATGGGAATGCTAGTGCTAAGATCATTAACATTTTCACTAAGAAAATTGGGAAGTTGCCAAACAAAATTAACAATAAAATTAGAAATATGAGCTTTATAATTCAGCCTCGAAATTAGATGAGGACCCCAATCCAAGGTAACAAGAGAATGACCCTAAATCCACTGGTCCCAACAGAATGAAAAATCACAATTATGC